ATGCAGTGGTCACTCTGGACTCCGCTGTTGAGGCAGAACCTCTGCCTCAGGGAACTTCAGGACAAAAAGTAAAACATTGCTTTGATTCAAGCACCTCAGTTGACAGCAGGAGTCTGTGTGGATATTTACAGACTCAAAACATGCGTTCACTACCCTTCATGTTCACAGGGCCTTATGTAGGCTAATTAACTCAGGAGGAAAAAAAGGGGGGGAACATGATGGATAGGCAAGAAATTCTTAAACTTTTGGATGCACTGTGGGCTCCCAGGAAGATTGTGATTATATATTGCTGAGGTCATCCAAAGGGAAACACTGTGGTTTCTCAAGGCAACCAGAGAGCTGAGAGGCCAGGTTAGCTGTCTGCAAGAAACGGGAAGAAAATCCAGTCCCAGGTTTAAATGATGCCCTTCAGGCTGGCTGACTAGCTAACAGAATGGGAGCCAACGTACTCATGATTTAAAGATAAACATAAACATGATTTAAGACTGAAAAAGGAAATTTTCTCCCAGGTGGATAGTGGAGATTTTCTGATGGCCAGAGATTCTAGCCCCAGCCTTTATCAGACAATTTCGCAGGAAAACATGTTGGACATACAGCACTAGAGACAGTTCTGAGTCAACATTTCTTGTGGGGAGCCATTCTCACACGTGACTGGGCAACTCCCGGTTTGGGTGTGAGACGCTCTGGCTAAACTGTGTCGGAGCTTTCCCGAGCCTGTCCGTGTGGGGGTGTGACTGACCACTGACCCTGGGGCCAATCACTGACCCTGACCTTGGAGTGTGCCCCCCTCAACCTTCATTGAATGGAATTCTCCCCTGAATTTCTTGTTCCCCAATAAAAGGCTATTCCCTGGCGTGCTCTCTCTCTCTCTCTCCTGCTAGCCCTGAGTAATCCTTGCTGCCCTACTGGGTGGTTTGAGGGGGAGCCAGAGGGGGAGTTGTCTCAGACCCTGTCATAGAAAAAGGTAACTGAGTCTGTGTGTTTATTTCGATCTCACTAGCTAACTTTTATGCCACGAACCTCTTTAATGAAACCAGTGCGATGGACGCATGGTGGAAATTTCTATGTCCCCCAGCTCACAAGCAACACCTGGATGATGTGCAAACAATGTGAGGTTTGTGCTCACAACAATCCTTGTCAGAGGAAAAAGCTCCCACCAGAAATCCAAACTATAGGAGGAGCACCTTTTGAAGACTTGGAAGTAGATGTCACTGAACTGCCACGCTCACAGGGCTGTAAGTAACTTGTTTTTTTATGTGTTCATACTCTGACTAGGTGGAAGCCTTTCCCACCTGCACTGAAAAGGCTAAGGTGTCCCCATAATTATTGGCTCAGACAATGGGCCAGCTTTTGGGAAGGGTGATATGATTACTGAGCAAGAGTGTAAACGTCAGATGGAAGTTACATACTGCCTATAGGCTGCAGAGTTCTGGTAAAGTTCAAAGGATGAACAGGACTTTAAGGCTCAACTGGGTAAGCTGTGTCAGCAGACTCACTTACATTGTGATGAAATTCTCCCTATTACACTGCTGAAGATTAGATCCACTCCCACTAGGAGGACTGGATTCTTTTCTTTTGAGATAATATATGGGAGACCCCCCCTTATTAGGGGACTACAGGGAGACTTAAGAGAGATAGGAAAATTAACCCTGAGTTGACAGCTTCAGGTCTTAGGGAAAACTTTACAGGTTCTCAACCAATGGGTTAGAGAAAGATTGCCAGTAAGTTTGACCCAAGTGCACACTCCTTCAAGCCTGGAGATTGAGTCTGAGTCAAAGGATGGAATATTCAACCCCTGAACTTCTTTGGAAGGGCCCTTTCTCTGTTATTTTATCCGTCCAACAGAACAGTAAAGTTTGCAGAGATAGGTCCCTGGATTCACTACACCAGACTCACACCTGCAGCTGCAGACTGGTAGTGCCCTCCAGATGCTGCTACGCCCTTGAAGCTGACCATCCCGAAGAAAAAGGAGCACCGGAGAAGCTTGAGGATCAGAAGGACAACAGCCCTGCTCCAGTCACTCCGGAAGCTGACAGGTCTATGCACAGCCAAAGCTTGAGGAGACTACGGCCCTGTTTCAGCCACGCAGGAGGGACTGGCTGATCAATGCATGGTGAAAGATACACTTGCCACCAGGACTAATTAACTCTTTCAACCTCTGAGGTAGTTCTTTTACTGTAATGCATTGCCACCCCTTGCTTCTAGATATATACACAGTTCTCTGTTTGGTTTTTGCTACTGGTTTGATAACAGTAACTCCTACTGACTGGACTCTGGGTAACAAAATTTCACTTATACTTTTTATCTTGCTTATATAAGTTTTCTAAGATTTGTTTGGTATTATTAGTTTGGCTTTGTTAATTTATGCTGTTTAGGGCTGGGGATGTGGCTCAAGCAGTAGCGCGCTCGCCAGGCATGCATGCGGCCCGTTCGATTCTCAGCACCACATAACAAAGATGTTGTGTCTGCCGATAAACAATACATATTAAAATTCTCTCCCTCTCTCCCCTAAAAAAAAATATTCTTTAAAAAAAAATTTATGCTGTTTAATCTATGCTAACCAAAATGTTAGTCTATTATTTAGTTTGGTTTCCTTTGATAACCATAAGGGATTCTGCCCTTCTCCTATTCCAACCATGGAGATCATGTGAAACATATGTCAAGATAATCCACTATAACTAAGAGGTAATAAAACATATATTTAGGACCTGTCCCACCAAAGGAATGCTATAGATGGATGACTGTTTGGAAAGGAAAAAGAGGTGCATTGGAAAGAAACTTGATTTAGGAAGTGACGAATCTTGATGAAGGTAACTGGCCACCCCAGAGGAGTATTGCCACTTATGGTCCTGCTACCTAAGCACAAAATGGCAGGTGGAGTTATAGAACTCCTATTTACATGTTAAATAGAATTATGCACTTATAAGCTGTACTAAAAATTATTATCAATCAGACTGCCACAGCCTTTGACCTCCTAGCCATACAACAAACCAGATGCGAATGGCTAACTATCAAAACCGCTTGACATTAGATTACCTACTGGTTGAAGAAAAAGAAATATGTGGAAAATTCAACAGCTCAGATTGTTACAATCAAATGGATGACAATAGACAAGCAGTTAAGAAAATAGCCAACAACACAAGAGAACTAGCACATGTGTTAGTTCATACTAGAAGGGCATTAAAGATGGTTTTCAACTCTTGGTAGATTTAAAACTTAACTGGTGAAATGGGTATTCTGCTGTGAACCTGTTCATTGCTCCCATGTTTGGCTCCACTGTGCATTAAAACTATTGGGTCCACTATAGAAGCTGCTGTAGAAAGGATGACAACAACTAAGGTTTTGGCATTATATAAGGCCTTAAGCCAAGATAATGGTAATGATGCTCTTAAATTTAAAGGATTAAATTACGGGGAGCATCATTAAAGGGGGGAATTGAAGTGGCACCCCCTTTCTCCACAGAAAAGCCCTCTTCACCATGGCTGATTTTAGGACTGTCAGAAAAAGAGTCCATTGTAGATAAACTTCCTATTTTCATGTCACCCTGTTTAGCTTGGCCACTGGCTGAGAAGATACCAGCAGTCCAGGTGCTGGACACCCCTTACTAGTTTTTCACAAACGTATCCAGCATAGTACTTTGAAGAAATGTGCAAACAAGGCCTCTGGCCTTGAGCTGGGCTTCACAGAGATGTCTGCATTTTTAACATAAGTTACAATTGGGCTGGGCTCCATGGTAACAGCTGGCAGGGGGAGGAAAGAAAGGGGAGAAGAAGCTCTCCCCTTCTCAGGTGTTGTCCTTGAAGAGTTAACTTGCCCAGAACAGTGAAAGAAAAAGCTGCTTTTATGTGAACTTCTGAGCCCCTCCCCTTACATGCTAGGTATAAAACTCTGAAACTCCCTGAACTTGGGGTTCAGGGGATTGATGAATTACAGCAAAAGCTGTGCCCCCTGAACCTGGCTGCAGCCAAATAAAACTGTTTCCTGCTGTCCTCAGTGCCTTGCTTCGTTTGTCCCTACAACAGGACTACTGCTTTGACACAAATATCAAATGACAATAAAAACTGCCAAGTGAGGGTGGGACGAAGAGCAGGAAAAAGCTGTGCAGCAGGTCTGGACTGTGGCCCAAATGGTCCTACTGCTTGATCTACAAAACACCATATTATACTAGAGGTGTCAGTGGTAGGAAAAGACCACACAATGTTTATTGCAAGCCCTAGTAGGAAGACACACACAGACCTCACAGCTCTGGAGCAAGGCCATGCCTTTGGAAAATGAGCATTATTCAAACTTTCAAAAGTTAGCTCCTGGCGTGCTACTGAGTTCTAGTTGATGCCCATGGGACATCAAGTGGCCATGTTGCCAGAAATAATTATTATACTCTGGGTTTTGTCATACCCACAACTCATATCGTGGGGAGGGGTGGCCCAGCAGCAATCTTTCATAAGATGGAAGTGATATGTACAGAATTTGGCACGAGCAAGGAGAGAAAGCAAAGGCAAGCTGCATAGTAGTGACCAGACTGTCACTTGCCATTGTTCAACTTCTAACTCTGGGCTCTGAGGGTTCAGAAGTCCTGGTCCCCCGCACCCCCCAAAAATATTTCTATCAGTAGACAAACATATAGCTTAAACTCTAAGCTTCAGATCAATGCCTAGAGACAAGAAGGTAAGGCAACAGGAGTAACTGACCTTGATCATCAGCAGATGGGGCTGTTACACAATGGGGACAAGGATGTATTTGGCACTCAGGCCATTCATGAGTATCTTTCTTTCTCTTGCCCTATTTTGAAGATAAAGGACAAGTACAATCATGGCCTAAGAAGAATATGATGGTTAGGCACCTAATCAGGTAACCCACTTGGACCAGCAGAAGTATAAGTCTAAGGGGGTAGGTCAGCTAAAAAATCTAGAATGGGTTAAGCAGGAGGAAGATGAATACCAGTTGTACATTCAAATCAAGCTAAAGCAGGAAGGGACTAGTCTGCCCCAGAATTTATAAAGCAAATGGTTCTGAGCAGTTCAAAAAGTGGACTGTCTACTATAGGACTGAAGCATTCAGTCCCCAAATTGCTGAAAAAGCTGACAGCTGATTGTTCCCAAAGGGGGCTTGGGTAAGAACTATCTTTGGCTGAAGCTCTCTACCTCACCCAGGTCATGCCCCTTTCTGGACCAGATAGAAAGATATGTAGGCTTAACCCACCTGCTTATTGGAGCATCCTAGTTTGAGCTTCTAGTACAATCCAGAGTCCTTTTGTAAGAGGGCATCAGCTCAACTTTTTCCTCTACCCAATCTTGTTTCTGTTTCTCCCCAACAAGTATTGATTCAGAGGACTCCCTCCCAATAAACTTTCTTCATACAAATCTCCAAACTGTTCTTGCCAGGAAATTAACCTAGAAGTATTTTGAAATAAGCTGTGTGAAATGTGCCTGTTGCTCAATTTCAGAGAACATCATAATGGTGATCAATTGAAAGATGCTATTATATAAGTCTTCCATTTCAAGGAAAGTAGGAACGGCGAATTTCAAACAGTACTAGTCCTCCATCTGATTTAGAGAGTGCTGGCACGTGTGAGGGTGGGTGTAGTTGTCAGTGCAACTACTGATACCTTATTTGGGATGAAAATGCTTAACTGGCTCAGAGTGACAAGTCAGCTCAAATAGGATGACAGAAACAGATCTCTGAGCTTCTGGTGGGTTTGACAGGAGTCTTATCTTTACCTCCCCTCAATTGCATGAACTCAATTATATATGAGTGAACCTGGCACAATCCACCTGTCAATATAAACTTATGCAGAACTATTTACTTCATCTCCCATCAAGACATCTATCTGTACAACTTAGTGAGTTCCTTATCTTCATTGTGCTCAAGAATTTCAGGAGGTAGAGTTCAAGAAATAATATACACATATACATTCCTTTTTAAAGCTTCTTTCATCCCAGCTTCATTTTCCATCAATTACCTGTAGGCCTTATTCCGATCTCCTTAGAGAAGCAGAATCACATTATTCATATTAATGACTATATCACTATATTTAATGACAGTAAGCTTTAAGACTAAAGACATATCAGTTTATTCAGAGTAATTTGCTCAGAGCAACTATGGAATATAGCAAGCTGATATATTCTCTCCTTTTTTTGGGGGGCAGCAAACCTCAGTGCTCAAGAACATATTCCACTTGGATGTCTTATCCCCAGTGTACTCAAGTCCAGTTAAAACAAAAAACAAACAAAAAAACCACACCTCCTTTATTCAAGTGTGTGATATTGGGAATTGAACCCAGCAGCACTTTCCCATTGAGCTACACCTCAGATCTTTTTATTTTTTGAAACAAGGATGCCCAAGCTGGTCTTGAACTTCTGATCCTCTTGCCTCAGTCTCCCAAATCATTGGGATTACAGGTGTGTGCCATTATACCTATCAAGAATGCACATTTTATTTCTGCTTGAGATACAAATATTCAGTTTGGATGATGAAATTAAAGACAATGGCTAACTCTTCCATTTGTTTCAATCAACTCCAATAAAAGAAAAGACTAAATAGAATCTAAACTGTTTCAATCCACTGGTATCCAGTTTATCAAATCAACAGCCTAGTACTTCTTTGGCAAAAGTGCTCCAATGGAGCTGGATATGATGGAGACGGTGAAAATGGAGAATTCAACATGTATATACCGTTCAGTCCGATGAGTCCAAATGTTCTCTAAAATTCCATATTTGGTCAGGTATGGGAGTGCGATCAGGGTACTGGCCCCTTTTTGTTTCACTGCTACTGATTCTGCTTTTCAGTCTTGCAGGGAGAGTAGGTTCAGACAGTCTGGGAACTGGTGGAGGTCAGGCCCTTGGCAGCTTGTTGGGCCAACCAGAACTTATATCTTTTGGTCCTGGGCTTTTCAAAGTTCACCACAGACATAGGAACTCTCACGGTGTCAAGCCCATTGACCTGAACACATAACAAGAGGAATCCTTTAAGGATTAGTCAGGCAGGTAAAGACTAACACCACACAATCCCAGCTCTTCATACTGATTTCTCACCCAGTAAGAAAAAGGAAAAATTACATGAAACACTCACCGTCACCTCACACCAGTACTCGCCCCACCGTGTGATAGGCTCCTCTGGTAGTTTCAATGCATGAGGGGCAACCACGACACCAAGCTGCAAAAAAAAAAAAAAAAAAAAAAAAAATCAAATGAACTCATGGCTCCCACTCTAGGCAACCTCACAAAGCAGGTTCTACAACTGCCTATAGAGGGATGACTAAAACTGGAGGGCTCACTCGAGCTGATCCCCTGGGAAGGCACAGACTCCCCAGAAAGTAGCAGAGAAACTGAGGTAGATTCACAAAAGAAAACAGGGCTTGAGACCAAAATTACTTCATCTACAAAGTAACAATTCTCTAGTGAATCATAAACCCCCAGGTTCTCCCTAGCTAGAGAGAAAATAAATGGAAACCATGACCTTTTCCTATCAAATCTTTAAATTCTCTGCCTATCTTTAGTTCTTAGCCATTTCCTTCCCACACCCTTCAAAAATCTGAGAAACCTTCCTTAACTCCAGTTAGATGATCAGATCCTTTCCTGACAAAGGGTTCAAGGCTGGGCCTCCTTCCCAGAAGTAGCTTCCCCCCTCAGGAGTATGGTGATATTTGCAAACACTCACATTCTTAAGGAAGTGGCGGGCAACTATTTCAGAATTCAGCTCCCATTTGACATTGTTCTTCATTCCTACCTCCAAGTGACAGTTTCTCAAAAATTTCACTGTCTGAAAGGAATTATAAATAGGATGGGGTCTGAACTATAGTCCAAGAAGAGGAAACATGTTAGAAGGAGTTATAAATGATTGAGAGTTTCAGGTAAAGGTCATTATTTCTACCTCACAGCCAAGATAGGTGAGAAAGGAGTAAGAATGACAAAACATTCTTATTGTCTTAAGGCTGCTGTGATAGATATTTTAGCAATACTTTGTGGGTGGGTGGAGTGTGTGTGTTACCTATACTGACCCTTGAAATCCACCCATATCTCATTAATTGCTCTTTCCTGATTACAGAATAAAGTATAAATTCATTAATTGAAGACTCAAGATGTTTTGTGTATCTTGTCCCAATCCCCTTTTCAGTCATGTTTCTTAATATTACACTATATAAATCCTCTGCTTTAGTTAAACTGGTCTACTCTAGGTTAAAACATGCCTTAAATTTCTACTTTTTTTCTCCTTTAAAAACACTTTCCCCATCTTCCTGGCCTATTCAAAGCTAACTAATCCCAAAAGGTCTCATTTAGTCCCAACTGGAAAAAACAAAAAAAGTCCTCCTCAATTGCTCTGGAACTCATTATGGTCTATATAACTCTTATAATTTACCACCTTGAGTTTACCCATTACCTTCTCATGTGTCTAGATCTTCCCAACTTGTCTGTACTATCTCTGAAGGCAGAGTCCTCACCTCACATTTTTCTATAGATCCCCTAGTTTCCAGATTGGGAACTCCCTCAACAATTAGGGCACTTCTCCCAACAGGTCAGGACTACTAAGATGTCTCCATACCAGTTATGTGGGGTGATCACAATATTTCTTTCCCCAACCCTTGTTGTGCAATCAGAAAACATCAAGAGAATCAGGGAAACTCTTAGAAAGAGGTTGGTGACTCCTGTAAATGGCCCATAAAGGCTTCCTATGTTTCTACTCACCGCCTCGCCTGCCTTAGTCTGGATCCTCTCTAATTTTCCTTCTTGTCTCAGCTAGAAAAGCAAGTTAAAAGTGAAAATAAGTAAAAGAAAAACGAGCCCATGTTAAACAACGTCAGACTCTTACTATGTTGGACATAGGCCGGCCTTCTGCATCTCTGTTCCGACTTCATTTTCAAATTAAGCAGTAAAAGGAAGGCACTTGCCAGAGGAAACCTTAAAATGTAATCCTCACTGTCCCTCTGTCTTCCCTTTGAGCTCACCAATTTCTCTTCTTCGAACAGCTTTCG